GATGGAGATGAGAGCAATAAAAGGTGTAGTAGACGATGCTACATATGTGGCAAGGTAGGACACATTGCTAGAGTTTATTAGTTTAGGCGGGAAGAAGGAAATGTTGTAACTTGCTTAAAGAAGGAGATTGAAAACAAAGAACAATTGGACTTCCAAGCTCCTGTTGTAGTGAATGAACAAGAAGAGCTTGCAACTGCTTGTATAATTGAGTCAAATTATTCGACAGCTCCTGTCGCGTCCCAGAAGAAGAGCAAGCCAAGGAAAAACTCGAAGAAGCAAGTAACAACACCAACAAGCAATCGTGTGCAAGAGATGTTAAAGTAGAGGGACAGGTAGAAGGACAACGAGCTCAAGATCAAAGAAAGAGAGAAGGAGAAGCTCCAATATGAGCTCAAGAAGTTGCAAAAGTTCAAAGATTTCGAGCAACGGAGAGACAAGAAAAATGATTAAAAGAAAAAGAAATGTTGCTTAAAGAAAAATTACCATTAGTATAAGGGTCAATGGAATGAGATTAAGAAGAAAAACCAGGAAGTAGCAATTAAAGAGGCCTCAAACATCTTGGAAGCAAAATGGAAGAGTAAGGAGAAGAAGCCCAAAGAGAGGAAGGACCAAGGTCTTTACATCAAAGTGCTTCAGATGGACTTAAATCAGTTGAAACACGAAATGAAAATCACAAACGAGAGGTTTGACCACATGAGTTGCAATCTCAGAACTCCTACAAGAGATTTGAGTATGGAAACTGAGACAAAGGAAAAGAAGACCAAAGCACAAGACAGACTGGCGTTGCCCAAATCCAAGCTTCACAAAGTTCAGACAAAAGTCGTAGCCACAGAGGCATCAAAAGTTAGAGCATATAGTGCTAAATCGGGTACCCATCTTGCACTTCCTCAGTCGGCACTAGAAGTGGCGAAGCCAAGGAGGAGTACGAGAGATTAAAGGAAGAAGATGACAAGGCAGCCAACGGAAAGCAACCTGGCATGGTTGCTAGATCCGCATTGAGAGAGAGTAGTCGGTGAGGAAGAATGTTGAAGAAAGTGCCGCCTTCTCTCTCTTCCAGAATCCTCTCTCTCATTCCCAGTAGCCATGTGTAGATTCTTCCAAAGAAAAATCAACCAAAAAGTTGTTAAGAAGACTTTTACGCCACTCTAGAGTTCTCTAAAAATAAAATCAGCCAAAACAAGTTACAATGTAATGATTGCTTTAGAAGATATTTAGAATAGTGTGGAGACTTCCTCCACCGACCTAGCGCTAGTATAAATAGGCAAGACCCTCTCCCATTTGTATCAAACGTGGAGTGTGGTGTAGTTACTGGCGTGAGCAAAGAGTTAGCGTGTGCGTAGAGTAATGAGTGTAGTTAGTAGGCAGTTGTATATTTGCTCTAGTAATAATAAAAGATGGTACCTATTGTAATCGGCAATCCCTTGATTCTCAACACTTCCGTTTTATATAATGGTCTTGCTGTTCTCAACCCTTAGAAAGGAAGCATATGTATCATATCCTTGTCCTCAATTAAGCATATCGTTGATGCTCACCTAAAAAACTGTCCATATTATAATTATTTTTCCGGGATTTGGATCCTCCCAGTTCGAAGGATTTGGTTCCACGTCCAATTAGAGCATATAAAAAAAACCAATGAAAACATGCTGAGAATCATGTCATAATCAAACAGAAAAATCGAGTCATATTCTCAGCATTTCATGTTCTACAATGCTTATTTTTAACATCAGTAGATCATTCAATTGTCCATCAATCATGTCTCCGTCATTTTCGAGAGGGGATGGATCATGGATTCACGTGATTTATATAAAACCTCTAGAGGCTCCATTTTCGGCATCGAAAGTCCCGTCCCTTCATTCATGTCGATCTCCTCTTCTCCATCCCTTTTCCACTCAAAGCACTGGGCACTTGATACCCAAGAACATTGCAATCACCTGATGATTCATGTGGTACTAAATGTGGGGTTGGTGGAAACAACCCCATTGTCTCACTGACAATTTCTTGGAAGTAACCCAGGTTCGGTAGGTCTTGTTCGGTGATGAGGCGGTCTTACTCGATGTTGGCCTCGATCTCGACTTGACCTTTCTTCAATTTATCTGGGTTGTTTAGGAGAACAGACATTGCCCGTTCTAGGGCAGTTGCTGTAGCCTCCAGGCCAGCACTAACTAATGCCTATATGGACATGTGAGCATGAATTGGACATAGTTATGTAAAACTCAAAAAATGTAGATGTAGAACGAAACACGATATGATGTTCGCAGATAATAAGCTTAGAACTATTCTGAATCATTCAAAGTTCCTAATGATAATTGTAATTAATGTCCTGATCTTCGTGTGGAACCTATGCAGTTCACTTTGCATCAGCAAGGTTGTAACTGAGATTAATAATAATAAATTGCTAAGAAGTTTCTTGCTTGTTTTATCGGCAAAAGAACCTCTTAAAATTTGACTTGAAAGATAATTCGCATGTTCGACATTCAATTGCTACGTGAGTTATACATCATTCCGAACTAATACAAAGACTTGTATAAGTTCATGTCCTCGTTTATTAGTCAAGTTGACCTAATTATATTGAGACATTTAAGGAGAAAGCAAGAATGAGTACCAGTATAATACCCTTGAGGGTTTGGTCAGTATAAGATTCTGGTTCCTTCGCTTGCAGGGATAACATAACAGGGTTAATTCCAAAAAAAAGCACCAACTTTAGGTCAAGGGACAATTTTGGCCCGAACTTTTTTTTGTTCCATAAAAAAGCATCAACTTTAGGTCGAGGGACAATTATGGCCCGAACTTTTTTTTGTCCCGTAAAAAAGCACCAACTTTAGGTCGAGGGACAATTCTGGCCCGAACTTTTTTTTGTCTCGTAAAAAAGCACCAACTTTCACTTAAATCCCAAATCTGGCCCTTATTGACTTAAAATAATTAATTTTCCAATTTGACTATTCCACCTTAGCAATAAATCCAAGTGACTTGCTGACTGGATTTAAAGCATTATTCATTGTCTTATTCTCTGAACCACAGCTTGAAGAATAACAGTGAAACTGTTCGTCTCCTTCACTTCACGGGCAAGTAAAAAATATCTCCAGATTGAATCTTTCTGGCCAAACTTCGTCGTTTTGTTGTAATCTGAAGCTGTAGACCACCGTCCGTCGACAGACGCCATGGAAGAGATTCGCCAGGCTCACCACCATAACTTTTTTTCTCAAACAAGGGTAACTTTCAGACAGAAAGTCAATGGGGGGCCAAATTTGGGATTCAAATGAAAGTTTGTGCTTTTTTCGAGACAAAAAAAAATTCGGGCCAGAATTGTCCCTCGACCTAAAGTTGATGCTTTTTTATGGAACAAAAAAAAGTTCGGGCCAGAATTGTTCATCGACCTAAAGTTGGTACTTTTTTATTGAACAAAAAAAAGTTCGGGCACAGAATTGTCCATCGACCAAAAGTTGGTGCTTTTTTTTGGAATTAACCCTAACATAACATCAGTCAGTGTCATCATCTTCCCGTTTTTCCAGGTCAACTCCTTTCTCATTCCTCTAATTTCATCAATCAAATTCTGGCAGAATCGGTCCGTTTTCCTCTTCAGCCTAACCAACCTCTTCTCCACGCCTGAAAATCGACCCACTGTAAGATTGGTAAATAATCACCTAAATTTACAATCCCGTGAAGCTCCCCGTGCTCTTTGATGATGCGGCAAAATTCTGCGGCTTCTTCGCCGACAGCATATTCACCGCAGTACCTCTTTCCTGAGATCATTCTCATCACAATGTTAAAGGATAGTTCTCTGAGCTTTGAGCTCATTTCGATCTTAGTCCACCTTCGGTTCAATTCATGAAATAGTCCTTTTCGCAGCAACCTCGCTTCATCTTGCCTGACAATAGGAACGTATATTGTGAATAATAGTGCATGTCGGATAGACCGGCTAGGTAAGCGCCAGTATAAATTGAATTATTCAAGCTCTACATACGCAAGTGCTATCTATTCAATCCAGATCTCATAATGACACCCTCTTTTCGTATAAGTGAGACAATAGATTTGTTCATTGTACTTGTTCTGAGTTGTGACATGTGGCTTAGTAGGTATCCAATTCTACTCTTAATTAACTTGAAGAGCAACATCTAGTAGTTTCCTGCCATATGGAATTAACAAAGAAACTCCCCACAAGCTTGCGTGGGGTAATCACTTCTTAGATTTTCCTGAACATCGGTGATAGGCTCTTTCTATTTATTTTCCTAGAAGCCTATAACTTGTCATACCTTACATCTGATAACATGGCCATGCAGGTTGAGGAGAACAATTCCAATGTCACGAGGCGCCAGAGATTGCGCCAGTGATCTCCATACGAGGCGTGTCCCATGGTGGTGGAATTGTAGTTGAGGTGCTTCCCCGCAAGGGTATGTGGGCGGTTGGCAAAAATAATGTCGTTCCTCTTGAAACATTCCTCGACTGCAGATGAGTTCAAGATCACTAGGACTTTACACACGCCGATTTTAAGGAAAAAGACATGGCCGTATCTCTCCGTGAGACTGTAGGGTTCAGTGAACTGATTCTTTAAGTAGATGGAGATGATCTAATACTATAGGAAGACCAGGAGGATTTAGTGGAAGATGGTTCTTGCTTTTACGGTTTACATGCTTTTGAATGATTAGTTTCAAGATAAAGAGAAGGATGAAAGAAAAGAAAAGGAAGAGCGCGACTTTGAAACTAAACTCCTCCATGATGTATTTTGGAAATACTCTCATCCCAAAGATTTATATTGGTCTACGAACCCAACCTCTTATATGAAATTTGTCATAAATTCTATTGTCGCAAACCATTTTGGCCTGCAAGAGTATATTCGGCCGGTTGATTTTGTATTTGCTTCACTGCCAACATATATTTTCAGACTGATGTTGACAGAATGTTATGTTGGGACAATCAAACAGAAAAACAGAATCATATTCTCAGCATTTCATGTTTTACAATGCATATATTTAACATCACTAGATCATTAATTTGTCGACCGATCATGTCTCCATCATTTTCGAGAGCGGGTGGATCATGGATTCACGTGGTTTACACAAAACCTCTAGAGGCTCCAATTTCGGCATCGAAAGTCCCGTCCCTTCATTCATATCGATCTCCTCTTCTCCATCCCTTTTCCACTCAAAGCACTGAATCAACGCCCCTAGCCCTAGTTCAATCACTCTTCTTCCCAGATTAGCCCCGGGACAAGCTCTCCTTCCAGCACCAAAAGGAAGGAACTTGAAATTATCATCCTTCTCTTCTCTTTGATCACCTCTGTTTCCAAATCTCTCTGGTATGAATTTTGTTGGTTCCTCCCAAAGCTTAGGGTCCCTATGGATGCTCCATAAGTTAACTAATAACATGGTGCCTCTGGGCACATGATACCCAAGAACATTGCAATCACTTGATGACTCATGCGGTACCAAAAGTGGGGTTGGTGGAAACAACCTCAATGTCTCATTGACAATTGCTTGGAGGTAATTCAGGTTCGGTAGGTCGTGCTCGGTGATGAGGCGGTCTTGCTCAACGTTGGCCTCGATCTCAATTTGAGCTTTCTTCAATGTATCTAGATTGTTTACAAGAAGAGACATTGCCCATTCTAGGGTAGTTGATGCAGTCTCCGTGCCAGCACCAAGCAATGTCTACATTACCACGTGAACATCAATTGGACGTAGTTATGTAAAATTCGAAAAAAGTTAAAGTAGAATAAAACCCGATATGACGTTCGCAGATAGTAAAGCTTCGTATTATAATGAATCATTCAAAATTCCTGATGAGGGTTGTAATTAATGTCATGATCTACTGGTGAAACCTATGCAATTCATCTGTCCATCAGAAAGGATATAATTGGGTTTAATCTTAAATAAAGACAAGAATACCCATCTTAAATAAAGACAAGAATACCCTAGAATTTCTTGCTTGTTTTATGGGCAAGTCACGATTCTAAACCTATAAAACGGCTTTTATAAGATCGTATCCTTCTTTATTAGTCTGAGTTGACCTAATTACATTAAGGCATTTACCCCTTCAGCTATTGTCATAACTTATTCAATTTGCTCTGCTTGCTTGTTAGATGCTAGTCAATGATGGCATGCCTGCACCTTCCAATATAATATATCAAAATTTAATATGGAATCCAATGTCTAAACGGTTCTTGGCAGAAAGGAACAATCATAAGTTTCCCATTAGTTAGATTCCATCAATCGGCTTCACAGTTTATACTGAAAGTGAAAATACACGTAATCGCTTGTCTTATTTAATATGCAGCATGCTTTATCTAAGAAAAGTCAAGCGATAGGTGACGTGAAGTAGTTCATTGATGAAATGAAGATGACCTCGATAAACACTAATATATTCCTGCTTAATGTAAGGACAAAAGCAAGCAAGAGTACCATGATGACACCCTTGAGGGTCTGGTCAGTATAAGATTCTGGTTCCTTCTCTTGCAAGGATAACATAACATCGATCAATGTCATCATCTTCCTTTCTTTCCGGGTCAACTCCTTCCTCATTCCTCTGATCTCATCAATCAAATTCTGGCAAAACCTATCCATTTTCCCCATCAACCTTATCATCCTCTTCTCGACGCCCTGAAAATCAACCCACTGAAAGATCGGCAAGTAATCGCCTAAGTTTGCAGTTCCGTGAAGCTCCACAACCTCTTTGATGATGCGGCGGAACTCCGCAGCTTCTTCACCAACGGCGTCCTTGCCGTAGTACCTCTTTCCCGCGATCATTCTTATCACAATGTTAAATGAAAGTTCTCTGAATTTCGATCTCATTTCGATCTTTGTCCACCGTTCGTTCGATTCATGAAATAGTCCTTTCAGTAGCAACCTCACTTCGTCGTGCCTAACAATAGTGAAACACATGGTGAATACACGTATATATCCGATAAGCCGACTAGTTAAGCACCGCCATAAATTGAACTCTTCAATATTTACCTACAAAAAGCCTCTAACATTTAGTATGTGTCCAATTCTACTTGTAATTAATTCGAAGAGAAACATCTAATAGTTTCATGCCATACAAAAATAACAATATGACCCCCTACAAGCTTGTGTGGGTAATCACATCTTAAGCTTTCCTGAATACAATAACGAAATTTGTATGTTTGATAGTCGGCGAGATGCTCTTTTTATTTATAGTCCCAAAAGCCTAAGACTTGTCATACCTAACATCCGATAACATGGCCATGCGGGTTGAGGAGAACATTTCCACTGTCGTGAGACGCCGGAGATTGCGCCAGTGATCGCCATACGAGGCGAGTCCCATGGTGGTGGAGTTGTAGTTGAGGTGTTTCCCGGCAAGGGTGTGCGGCCGGTTGGCGAAAATAATGTCGTTCCTCGTGAAACATTCCTCGACCGCAGATGGGTTGGAGGTCACGAGGATTTTACGCACGCCGAATTTGAGCAACAAGACGTCGCCGTATCTCTCCATGAGACCGTGCAGGGTCCGGTGAACCGGCTCTTTAAGCAGATGAAGATGGCCTAAGATTGGAAGACCAGGAGGACTTGGTGGAAGCCGGTTCTTGCTTTTAGGGTTTGCATGCTTTTGGATGATTAGTTTCAAGATAAAGAGAAGGGAAAAAGTAAAGAAAGAGAAGAGCACCACTTTGAAACTTAACTCCTCCATGATGTACTTTGGATGCGCTCATTTCCCAAAGATTTATATTGCTCTCCGAGCACAACCTCCTGTATAGAAATCGTCATAAATTTGTGTTTATTATAGCTATTGTCGGGTAGCATTTTGGCCGGCAAGAGTATATTCGACCGGTTGATTTTGTATTCGTTGGTGATTGTTATTGGTGCTCATAAGGATCGCCATATGACATAAGATAGAAAGAAACCCAATAAAGAGTATATTCGACCGGTTGATTTTGTATTCGGTGGTGATTGTTATTGGTGTTCATAAGGATCGCTATATGACATGAGATAGAAAGAAACCAAATAAATACGAACATTTCAAAGAGTCAACCGAACTCAGGTGACAAGGTCAAAAGAATGTGTGCACATCAAGGGACCACACCAGTGAAGGCACCGTTTCACTCTTGGAGCAGCAGAAACTATTCCATTACATGGATGCTATAGAAGGCACCATTCTTGTGTTTCGCTAGACCTGCAAAAGTGGGACATATACCAAAATCTTAACCCATATATAATGGACTGAATTGTTACATGAGTTAGTTCTATTCAATAAATAGGTCGTAAATATGTTTAAACATAATATAGGTATTAAATGGATCATAAACGGGTGATAAATGGGTTTACAACTTACTTAGATCCAACCCACTTCTTTGACTCTCTTCTCATTCTCTGTCGCCCTCACTTCATCTCATGCTCATTCACCTCGCAATCTCACCTCAGTTTGGATATAAGTTTTCGTAAATTGAGTTGGATATGAAAGTATTTTAACAATATGAGTCGGATAAGGTACGAATCGAATTGTGTATGGGTCAGTAGATTTGCATTGCATAGAAATTGATCTATTTCGGTCAGACCATATTCTACCCGATCCATCCGTTTGACGGGTCCATGTTTCACCAAGCCATTGATTTGCTATTCTAGACCAAACCCTTCATGATGAAAGGCAGAACATGTATAGGCAACAGGTTAGGTATATAACGGCCTTGCTCATATCCTTTTCCTCAATTTACATTAATGCTCACCTCAATAATTGTCCATATCATTGTTAGTTTCCTGGGGTTTGGATCCACTCAATTTAAAAGGAGGGCTTCAAATTCTTTTACGAGCATATGCCATGACAAGAAAAATCTTGTAACCCTGTTCATCTGGAGTGGATCACGGTGTTCCCGTCGGTGTGCAAGGCAGAGGATCCACGTCTGCTTTTATGGCGAGCTCTTTACAGCGTCGATACATCAAATAAAAGTCCATAAATTAAAAGACAGACGAAATTCTTAATGATTTCAGTGTGTTTTAGTTCCTATTCTCCGATGATTGTATTGTTTAGAAAGTACAAGAAGAAATTGTGTGCAGCACTCAATCGTCAAGCGAGCGGTTAACCGCTTGATATGCATGTGACAGACCATGTATTAGCTTCTTTCTTTGGCTAGCTTCGACCTCGAAACATTCTCAGTAAAACTATAATAATATGACACCAGACGAAAGACAAAATTGTAATTTAGAAGTAAACTGAATTTCTAGCACTTTAAATCCCGCATAATTTCTTAAATGTTTAGCACTTTCCAAACTTGAATTTTTCTATTTCTTATTTTTGTAAGTCAGTCTTTCATGTTTTACAAAAAATCTAAATCCATTTTCCAAATTAGACCAATTTTTTAATACATAAAAAAACCTAGACCAAAAGGCTTAGACTGCTTATTAGTTTGGCAATATTACATGAAAATTCTTATTTTTTCTAGTGAAATTCGATGTCAATTTTTTTTCTCCTTAAAATGTCATCAATTATTACACGATTACTTCTCTTGGTTAGGTGGGAGTGGGAGTGGGAGTTTCCATGGAGAGAGATTTAATGAAGAAGTGGGGACCTCCAAATTACAAGAAAGAAAGTATGCATCTCCAACCTAATCTAACCACCCAAGTCCCACGAAGAGAAACCTCAGATTGCGTGAGTGCATGAGACTCTGTCCTAAATTACACCTCAATTACCACTCCCATCTTTGCATTTTGGTTGAATTCTTGGTAAGGCTGTGGAAGCTTATTGCATTTGCGCATTTTCTTAGAACCGCCTCGGGAGCAAACGACATCGAAACGAAAAAAAAAATAACCACACCCAATAGATATTAGTCAAAATGTATGTATTCTATGAATTTCAAGAATTTCATTGACGAAAGAGAAAGACGGAGAGAAACTAAGAGAGTAGAGTAAGGTAAGTTGTAGTTGGGAAACAATCTCACCTCATGTGGAAAATTATGTTCAATATCGGTGAAGTAATTCTTTGTGGAAGGGGCGAGTACGACAGCCGTGGGGAGGCGAGGGGTTTGACGACGACGATGTAGGGGCGGCGCGACTGAGGCGGGTCTAGGGAGGGGAAGAGAGAGAGGGGGAGGGGTCTAAGGTTGGGTGTGGTTTTTCTGTAAATTCCTTCACAAAACAAGGACATTTTGGTTTAGAGTTAATAATATCGCCAAAAACCTCAAATTATACTCACTGTGGCACCAATACCAAAAACTTTTTTTGTGTCACTAAAACCCTAAACTTGCAGATTGTATATTTGCTTTCTAAAAATTTGTATTAATGGTTGAAACTACATATGTAATTTACATATATGATTGTATATGATTTTTCACCCAACCCATGTTCATCTCACTGATTGGGGTCATATTTTTGTAAAATTGACGAAGTATCCATATCAATGTAATATATATGAGTTATGTATATGAAACAAAAAACTTACACAAAATTTTACCTTTTGTCCTCCTTTCTCTCTCCTAATTTCTAACTACAAACTCTCTCTCTCTCTCTCTCTCTCTCTCTCTCTCTCTGTGAAAGATTAAGTTCATCATCCACGGCTTCGGTAGATAGATTTTTCATGATGTACAGTCTCATATGTGCACGCACATTACATGAGTCACCTGTCTCCATGTCTTCTTAAATGGGAACTGGTTCGCCAATTTGCATGTTTTAGCCCTTCACTCAATAGTTACTTAGTTCATCTCGCTTCTCTTCTCTGTTTTTTGCATTACTTGATCAGGTCTGACGGAGATCGAGGAATGATCATCGACCTGGATACCTCGCGCTTCGACCCGAACACCATCGCCGTACCAGAAGGTCCAGATGCCGAGTTTGCTCAAACCCAAAATCATCCTCACAATTATCATCCTCACCATCAAATGCAAGAGAACGTTCCAGCTTATTTCACCAACGAAAACATCTACAGCTGCAACACCAACAACAATCACATGACTGTAGAAGAAGCCATTGATGGAGATCCCAGCAATACTGACAATAATCAGGTGATGCCTTGTTACGGTAATAGTCAAGCTTCAAATTGGAATAGTAATCAACCTGGACTACTGCAAGATATGTTCGAGCAACTCGTTGCCGACCACGCGCAAACGCAGAATGGCATCACTGCCCAAAATTCGAGCGATGAAGTCCTCCCGATGCCGCCTCCAGATCACCTAGGCTTCTTCCATCTATTCGACTTGGCCAGATCCTCCTCATCCTCCTCGTTGCCGTGGCCTTCGTCCTCCTTGCTCCCAAAACCGCCGCTCTCATACACAAACCCTAACGCATCCACAACATCGTCGGTGCTGTATGACCCGCTCTTCCACCTGAGAAACTTGCAACCAAAACCTCCACCAATGGGCGAACTATTGTTCCCGTACGTGGGCTTGCCCAATGAGGATGACGGAGGGGAAATCATCGTCGACGGAGAAGGAGGGACGACGGCAGCGATGATGATGATGTATGGGGAGGATGAAGGGGTGTTGGAGATGATGGAGGGTGGCAATAGGGTTAAGATTGGCAAGAGAAGGGGAGGGAATAAGTTGACCAAGCACTTTGCCACTGAGAGGGACAGGAGGACTCAGTTGAATGAGAAGTATGCCGCTTTGAGGGACTTGATCCCCAACCCCACCAAGGTAACGCATATATTGATTGTATATTTACTTTCTAATACCTTGCATTAATGATTTGAACTCCATCTAAAATGTACGTGTATGTATATAAGGCGAAAAAAGTTCATTTCACTAGCTTAATCAAGTTTGCTGATTTTCATGGATGAACCCTCATTGCAAAAGCTTTAATTCATTGATGAGTTGAGATGATCTTTTCTTCTACCAGTTTCATTGTCTTCTTTCTCTAGCCCCTACCTTTACGAACAAGTCACACAGCCTTATACATTTCATTTTTATGACTTATAGCTGCAAGAAATATCTTGCATTTTTCTCCCTTCACAAATGGGAGCTTTGTGATATACATTCCTTGGCATTAGTTAAGACCAAAGATATCCATTTCCCATGTAGTAATCGTAATCGAATCATATTATCTCATCTTTCTGTATAGCACTGATCAAGTGATCATGAAGCTTAGACTTACTCTTTCCCATTAATGGGCACATAATCTTCGTTTCAAATGATTGTTGAGTAATGCTAGGTCTAGCTCCTTTTGGTCCTTCATAAACAGGATCTAGTAGTTGTAATCAGCTGTATACATACATAGTCTTCATTCTATGTGACACTGCTTATGGGACTTAGCATTTTTACTGGCGATACACATGCTTTGTTGCAAATGATGCTTGTTGAGTAATGTCAGGCTTATTTAGACTGATTTACACATTTGGTATACACCAGATAGTGATGGACAAGCTACAAATGGGCATAGTAAGACATATTCAACACCCACTAAGAGTCTATATCGCATTTCTCAGTAAAACTGATTTATCTCAGTATACCTAACATTATCTTCAATTGTACTGGAAAGGATGGCATTTAATACCTTAATAATATATGTTTATATTGACTATTTCTTGGTGGCGAAAACGAATTGTTTGTTCTGTGTATGTGAAGTTTGATCGGGCATCCATTGTGGGAGATGCCATTGAGTACATCAAGGAGCTCTTGATAACTGTGAGCGAGCTGAACCTACTCTTGGAGAGGAAAAGATGGGGAAGAGAGAGGAAATGGAGACAAAGGGTTGCCGTCGACGAAGACAACAATGATGAGGCTGTAGATGGAGAGAGCTCCGTAACCGCGGTCACTCCATCGGGCGACCCGGCCAATCGGTCCTTCAGTGGGACACTGAGGAACTCTTGTCTCCAGAGGAAGTCGAAGGCGACCGAGGTCGATGTGCGCATTGTCAACGACGAGGTCGTGATCAAGCTCGTGCAGCGGAAGAAGATCAATTGCTTGCTGCATGTGACGCGGCTCCTCGACAAGCTTCAGTTGGACCTCCAACACATTTCGGGCGGCCACATTGGTGAACACTACAGCTTCTTGCTCAACTCCAAGGTTGTGAACTTAGATTTGATGCTCTCTCTTAGAAAATTCTCAAAGCTCTTTCTATTTATTTGATTTCAATACTATACCTAACTAACTCGATCATTGCTGCATTTCAGATCTGTGAAGGTTCGACGGTGTACGCGAGCGGGATCGCAAGCAAGGTCATAGAGGTTGTGGACAGGCAGTACTATGCTGCCACACCACCACCGAGTTGCTGCAGCTACTAGGGCTTGAGGAGGAGATGGAGGAGGAGACGATGATGAAGCCCCTTTAGTCCCTTTATTTCTAGTCATTTAAATTTTCACTACCTAGATATGGAAAAATAATTAAAGTCTATATAGCTACATTATGTCACCTTATTCCAAATGCAGACATGTTCTTCGGTATTGCTTCTTTGAATGCCTCTCGAGATGATAACGTGATGTGTGCTTTCCAAGTCATTTAATTAACGCAGTGAGCCAATAGGCATGCGGTCCTACTGGTAAATGGATTGAGGGTTGGGGACGCTAGTATCATAAGTACGGGATTCGAGTCCCGCGCTCTGCAAGAAGCAGAGTAAAAAGTCAACGAGTGAGAAGAGTTAGAGATAGGATAGATAAAAAAAAATAACGCAATGATGCTATGGAGAAATATTTAGAACGTCTCTTTCGGATGGGGATTAAAGTTCCACCCACATTTTCTATGTGCCTAAGTAATTTTTCAAAGTTCAAATATGCCATTCAAAATGTCATTCCACGTGAATGGAGTGACATTTCTGGATCAGTTCACTCGAGGTATTGTTCATCAGATTCGTTCAACACCTTGTCCCCACGAGGTCCTCATCCCAATAGTGCTCTCAACTAAGAGAGCACTCTTAAAATTGAAGTTCAAATGTTAAATGTCGTCGTTACGTGAAAATGCGCCTCTTCGTCGTTCGGTATGTAATTCAGGAACGTAATGTAACAGCCCGAATTTCGATGTAATTCCGGGATCAATAAAATTGACAATATTTCGCATTTCATTTTTGTAAGTCTCGCTCGGAGCTGGTCACTCTTGGGATACTAACCAATGGGGTATGGCTAACTAGGAAACGGTACGTGGACCAGGGACTCGATAGTGAACAGGACACCGATCTCGAGATATGATGAGGGAATATTTTGGGCCAACGTGGGCCGATCTTAGGAAAGGTGATGGATTTGGTTTGGCCAAGGCCAACGATGTACAATCGGATCACAGGTGATTCTGCAAGACCGAAAGTGCACGTGACCAACCAGTCCTGAACCTAAACCGAACGATCGCGACCTCTGGAACTAGTGATGATTTCTCATTCTCTCAATGATCGGAACCGTCGTAAGTCGAATAACCCTAGGTCGATACGCGTAGATCCTAAACAGCCACCCGTTAGTGAGAAACCCTGAAATTGAAAGTTTAGCGAGTTTTGTTCACGGAATTGGGCCCGGATTTCGATGCCGATTTTCGAAGGCTTAAGAGACTATTTTTGGGAATCTGACGTCGTATTACGCTGGCCACACACGTTTGGAGTTAGTACGAGTAAAAATTGGAATTTCGGTCCGGGGGTGAAAAATTACGATTTTGCCCATCGGGATGCCAGCGTTGCTTTTCGAGGCCAAATAAGGTTATTTTTCGAGGCCGACGCCATTTTTTGGTGGCCACGCATACCAGGAGTAGTTATGGCAAAAAATTGGAATTTCGACAAAAATTGGAAAATAATATTATTTTATTCCCGAAACTTCGCAGTCGATTTTCGAGGGCTTAGAAAGTGAATTTCGCGAATCCAACGCCATATTATGTTGGCCACGCACATATGAAACACGTATGTGCGAAAATTGGAATTTCGCCCCGAGACCGGAAAAATGACGATTTTGCCCCTGGGCTATTTTCGGGTCCGAATTTTTGGGAAAGTATTTGGGACAGTTAAAGATAATTATCAGCTGCATTATTGGCCCCATTTACCCTTTTGCCCCTCAATTATTTGGATAGGATTGTTTAGAAACCGTTAGATTAGCGGTATTTTCGTCAAAACCGCCGGATTTACGACATGTGTCGCCCTAGGCTGCCTTTTTTTGACCAGGTCTGACCTTTATCTCTCTCCTCACTCACCCTCATGCCAGAACTCCCCGAGAACAGCAGCCCCTTCAGTTTTCTCCCCCATTTTTCTCTCTTTTCCTCTCTTGTTTGGCTCGCCGGAGCTCGTCGCCGGCCACCGGAGCGCCGCCGCCGGCCACCGTGCCTCCCCGTCGACCACCACAGCCCCCAGCCTCAGTCTTGCCCCTGTCCGACCCCTTTCTCTCTCCCTTTCTCTCTCTTTCTCCCTCTTTTTCTCTTTCCCGTCCGGCAAAAAGGGCCGCCGGAGCTTCGCCGAAGCTCGGATCGCTGTTCCGTCACCACCCAGCCGTCCAGCCTCGCCGTACGACGCCGGCCGTACCCATCCGTACAGTGTCCGTACGGAAGTACTGTTCATCTCGTCCCCGTACGCGTCACTGTTCACGCCGTCGCCGGGAATTCCGCCGCCGGTTTTACTGTTCATCAGTGATCGGTCGCCGTTCCCCGTCGTCGTGACCTTGGATTAAGTGAGTAAAATTTCTAAACCCGGATTAGGACTGATAGTGCATTTTTCTGGACTGGTTTAGGAATGCTAGTACTGGCAGAGGAAAATTAGTATACTGTTTGATAGAAATTGTTATCAGGAAAAATGTAGTAGATCAATGAGAAATTATTGGGGAGGATAATAGGGTTTAATGACCAATTTAGGAGCTCGTTAGTGAAATTGCCGGGTATGCCCGGGTTGACTGATTGTACGTCAATTGTGCTTAATTGTGGTTGATTTCGTACTGCTATGTCGTATGTGGTGTGGCTGATTTTATGGAGTGCGATTGGCCATTGTTTGGTTTACAATGAATTACTGATTTGTGAATCGCACGTTAGGCCACACGGTATTAATTGGGCCAATTAAGCACGTGTTGTGACATTGGGTGTCTGAATTATATTGGTGCTCGTGGTGCATTGCATTGCATAACATGGACACGCATTGCGTATGCCAAGAGTGAGGCATGTGATGAAATTGTGCAAGAATGCGTGTCTGCCATGAGCATGTGATCACCTAAAATACCCTGAAGTGTTATACGCTGGGTTTAGATAATAATAAGTTGTGTGATCACCTAAGGACCTTCGGGTCGATACCGTCCTCATGTACTTTGAAGCAGGACGATGCCCGGTACGTCCGGAAGGCGACCATCCTCATGCACTTTGAAGCAGGCTCTGGTTCGCAAGGAGAACAGTGTTGCGCCTCATGCACTTTGAAGCAGGCTAGAGACACTGGGCCAGATCGGTTGCTGCGCCTCATGCACTTTGAAGCAGGCTAGACGCACCGGGCCGTGAAAAATTGATGACTCGAGTCGTAATAATAATTAATTGGGCAAGTGTGCCAGTGTGGGCCGGGAAATACACGTGACATGTCGACGACATTTGCATGCATGAACATGCATGGACTGGCATGCGAGTGAGTGAGACTCGGTGCATGAGCATGTGATTGGCGTACGTGTGATAATGTGTGCCACGTACGTGCCGTGATTATTATATATCGAACTGCCTAACCTGCAGGGTCAGAGAATTATTTGATTGTTGTTGCATTATGGTTTCAAATATTCATTTCCGGTCAGGAGATTGCATGCTAGCCTAGCCTAGGTTTAGGGGTTGAACTCATTGAGATTCGTCTCACAGTTGTGTAAACCGAAACATTTCACACCCATAGCCGTAGAATGCCGAGGGCATCACCTCTTTTTGGGATACCGCACAATATTCAGCGGTCGTCAAGCGTGCACCCCTGTGGTGATGGAGCAGCCTATGTGAGATATTATGCTGTTTTGTTTGTAAATGTGGGAGAGGCGTACTACCACACCCAAGAATATGTGGCTTGGTGCTATAGAGGAGCCGATGGAGTAATCGGACCCCCGCTCAGGACCTTTGATGTCCCGGTAGACGTGAATAATGTCATGATCCCACAGATGGTAAGTGGTGAGATTTCCGATCCTCCAACTACGCCTGATTGGAGCAGCCAGGGCGAAACCGTGGACGGACCTGCTGCTATGGTCGAGGAGGCTGAGGAACCTGAAGTGTTGTATGCTGATCCGGAACCCTTGGACCACCAGAATGAAGAAGAGCCGGTAGCCATGGAAGTAGATCACGAACATGATGGAGAGGTTGAGGAACTGGGATCCGATCAAGAAATAGGAGCCGAGGACGAGCTGGGATTATACTTAGACCCTGAGTTAGAACCGGATTCGGAGGACGAGAGTGATGCAGTAGAGGACATGGATTCCGAGGAGTCCGAGTCCCAGGAGAGCTCGATAGAGGAGTCCTCAGGGTCCGACCCGGACTGGGGTCCCTAGGTTAGCAATACTCCTAAGTAAAGCGGGTTACACCTTTTTGACTGAAGCTCGTCTTAGTCCCGTCCAGTACCCCTAGCCACTGACCCTTTTGACCTAGAGGCTGCTATTATGAGTGTTGACTACTGTTGTTGTATAAACGAATATTGTAAAAAGGTTTTTATAGTAATGTAAGTATGTACCTATTTTCTGCTGCGATCGTGTTTATTGCTTGGCTATCCTTGGCTCGTATTTTATAATTGTCAGGATTGTTTATTTAATCGCTTCCGCTTGTGCTTGTTCTCTGTTGGGCGTTGGGTCGGCGACGCTTCCTGGAAGCTTGCACCATAATCGACCGCGACGGGATGTTGCGTTCCAGTGGGGTACGGGGCGTGACACGTAATGCAGCTCATTTTTGCCCCCATTCGCCGTTCTAAAACCCTGTCGAAACCCGTTTCTTGTTTGGGCCCATCTCGCCCTGACGATCATTTCTCGCCCTCTTTGGACTAGGTCGTTACAAACATACATATACAAACATACATATATATATATATGTATATATATACACTAAATTCCTATGAACTTTGTCCATATGTACGTGCATCGATGACTCCTTTTCAGTTTCGAGACTTGGTAAGCCGTCAAAGGTGAGCAAGTGATGGGACCACATCTTCATAGAGAGAGAGAGAGAGAGAGAGAGAGAGAGAGAGAGAGAGAGAGAGAGAGAGAGAGAGAGAGAAGGTACGACTCCAAGAATAACAGCAGACAATCTGCACATATGCAAGCACACAACATGATTGTCAGCCGTGCCAGCATTTGCTATTTCAGACCAGGCATTCTTCAGGACTGTGCTTATCCCGTACGTTCTTGCTGTTTCTGTCAACTTTTATGATTGTTTCGGACCACCCTCCTTATGCAGATGCCATTATTAACACCGAAAAGGATGATACTCATTCGATTGGACAGGAGCATCAAATGATTATCAATGGAAGTTACATATGGTCAGGTTTTTACTTATCCTGCCTGCAT